CTGGCTATAAAATTGAACAAATGCTTTTTCCATGTTTTTCCCTTTGGACTGGCCCAAAGTGACAAGGTGGTGCAATTCCTCCTCCAAGAGAAGGAACTGGGGCTCCTTTCAGAGAGTTTCAAGCTTTCCCTGTGCAGCTGTAAGCATTACCACCAGGTGCCTGGATCTCTCAAGAAAATTGTTACTAACCTGACCTATCGCTCAGGAGGCAATACAAGAAAATAAAGCAGTTTTTTCCTACTTACGCTCCACCTAAAGGATCCAGAGGCCAGAGATCTGCTGGCCCTTTTCTGTTCCTTGTTATGACCATGCCTTCTTTGGGTGACACACCTCCTACAATATAGTAAACTTCAGCAATGATGGGAATGCCAGCCAGTCTGAGAACAGCTGACTGGAAGTCCTCTGCTCTGCTCAGGGTCTGATGCAAAAAAGGAGATGACAGTGAGGTCAGGCACAGAAACAAGCACTGGGACATGTTCAGAATCAAAAAGTTCTACCCTCTCTGGAAATGGTCGATGATTAAAGCGCTACTTGAGAAAAGCATTAGTATAGTAACATATCAAACAGTATAAAATAACCCCTGGGACAGGTATTCCCATCTAGGAGTGCAACTGTGTTAAACTGGTCATAACAAATCACAACCAGATGAAATAGTCCCTAGGAAGGAAGTCTTGGCACAGCTTCTCCAGGACTTCTGGCATTGATTAGAGATCACCCCCCTGAAGGACTGGAATTGCCTCTCATTTACTGACAATTCAGGGACAACACTTAGCTTCTCTTATGAAATCCATTTACTTATCAAACCAGTAAGCTTTCTGTGCAACTGAAAGTTGGAAGACGCAATTTCCCTGTGAGTTTAAGCACAAATGACATAACTGAAATGTGAGAAAGTAACCCAGTGCACTTACATCCCGGACCAGCCAGCTGACAGGGTAATTCCGATTGAGGAAAGCAGCTATGGCATTTTCCCACCATCTACCACCATCTGGGGAGAAAAAGGTAATTACTATACATGCAATATACATATATACAATGAACAGGACAGCTGCCTATCAGCACAAGATGTTAATATTTTATGGGAGCAAGGCCAACAAGGAGCACAACATCCTGATGGAATATAAATAGACAACCTAATCCCAACTGATGTTCAGCCACAACAGCTGGATTAACACTCCTGCTTTCCAGAAAGCATCTCAGACATGTCACAAAATGAGTGATAATTATCTCCTAATTATTCATGTTACTGAAATAGTGAAACAGCAATAACGCAACAGAAATCAGGAAGCAGCTAAAAAACAGTAGTGATAGTGTTTGTGTTACCAAGCACATTAGGAGAAGCAAGAAAAACAGAAGGGCAAGTTTGTTATTCTTCATACACCAAAACCACAGGACAGCCACAGAATCAATATGCTTGTCACCTGACAGACCTTCACCCTAATTTAGTCACCCTCCCCTTCCCAACCATAGTTCACATGCTTATTTCCCATAATTTGTAGTTCAGTTGGAGCGAACTAAAAAAAGATCTTTTAGTTCAGATAAATCAGCAAGCAGCATCAACCAGTTTACAGAAATACAGCATGCATGGAATGAACAGACATTTCATGGTCCACAAGATTTCCTAAATCAGGCCTTTACAGAGACTTGATACACTTGGGACTATTTCTAAGCTAAACTAAAAGTGGTTTGCATCTCTAAGTATGACCCCACTACACTCCAATTTTGAAAGGATTAAATAACTACTCTGGTATCAGGAGCAGTATGTGTGCCAGCTATGGAAAGAATTTAGTGACTCCAACAAGGCTGTATTAACAAAGGACACAAGAACCCAGAGGTCCCTGTGCTCCATACCAGAATCCCTACTCAGAGATAACGAATATGTGTAACACATACAGTGAATATTGTTGACATATCATAAAAATTTCAAAAACAGATTGTCCAATTAACAGATTAAAAAGCCAAATATGCTAATCACAACCACAGGAGAAAAATAAATATTTTCTATGTTGGCTCCGAGACTACATTGTTGCCAGTTCAAACAATCAGCCAATGAAGAAAAAAGTGTCATCATCTTACAAAAAAAAAAAAAAACAACTTGAAAATGGAAGGTACCAACCCAAGCTTTCAGTTAACTTGGCTTCCAATATTAGTGAAACTGAAGTACTGATGGAAGAGGCAGTGACCTTTCCTTTGCCTTCCTCACTGCTCCAAGTTTTGGTTCTCAGCAGTGACATCTCTCAGCTTCCCTGTATTACTGATCTTGCTCAGTTGCCTTTCCAGTGCCTCTGCATTCTCTCAAACACTGCTGCCTTTCCCCTAAATCTGTCCTCTTCCTGTCCTCTTTCCAACTGCCTTATGATGACAGATGATGGAATACAGCAGAAGGGTCACAGAACCAGGAAAGCAGCTGTTTCTTTGCTATCCCAACTGCTTCTTGTTCTGTCAGTCCCTACTCTGCCACCTCCAGCTGTGACTCTTGACCAGACCACAGTTAGCCTTTCACAGCTCTCCCCAGGGCTCTTCCTCTGCTCTGATACTTTCAGCTCAGATGACAAACAAATACCTCCTCCTACACAGCAGCCAAAAACCAGCAGCATGTGCATTTTGACTCCCTGAGGGCAAGGCAAGTCATTCCATTTCAGATCCTTCCTGGCAACCTTAACCTCACTTTTCCTTCTGGGGGAGAAGGGCCAGGGCAGGCAACAGTCAACAACAGAGCACATGATGTCAAGTGTAGAAGACATTTCATTTACCTCGTTCATCCCCAGAGATTGTGAACTTGTGTGGACGTTGTCCAGTCCATAAGCCTACGTAGCCAAGAAAGGTGGTGCCTTGGTACGCTACCTGAAACCAGCAAACAGAACAGAACACAACTTAAAATACTAGTAACATTTGCAAGCAGCACCCTGTCCTTCTTTCTCTGACTTTCATACTTAAGTTGCTATAAAATACTGTGCCTCAAGTGACAGTAAAACTTGCCAAGTAAACTATAAAAAGTCTGAGGCCCCAAATTCACTGCATTTCATTTGTTAGTGATCACCAGCTGCTACAAGAGTTTAGCTCAAATTAGCAAGCAGCCCAGCAAGAAACAAACAGTGAGTTTTCCATCTGCAAAAGGGACTAATGAACATGAACAAATTCACACTAAGACTGTACTAGTAACTAATTTGTCTTTTGAAATCTTGACCCAAAACCACACACCCTGGTCAAAAAACTAGAAAGGTCTAAAAAGTAAGCCTTAGAACTGCTCTCTGCCAAAACTTATCTCTTGTTTTCTGTAGTACTTTTCTTAGTATCTTGACATTTTTTCTTTCAACACCTCCTTTCAAATAACAATCTTGAGAACCTTTATTATGCTGTTCTATTTTCTCCAATGCCTCATCATAAACTGGATGTCCAGAAAGCAAAGAAAACCTGCATTCATCCCACATTCCTGGATATAACTGTGCTGCTCTAACAGTCCAGTCTATGTGGGATGGGAACACATTCCTACATTAAATCCCCCTATCTAAGCAGCTATAGGACAGACCACCCAGCTGAGCCAATCCCAGACCATACCTGCCCACTCTTTATAAACTGCACATCAACTGTGATCTTGCTCAATATATCGACAAACTCATAATCCAGGTTCCGACCGTGGTAAATGTTCCCTTTGTCATCCTGAGCAACAATGCTTGTACAGAACCTGCAAACACACCAGACAAAAATCAGTGAAAAAAGAGTTATGACAGTGCTTTCAATGTTATAGTCAAAACAGATCAACCTGTCAGGAATAACTGGGTTCTGCTAGGTACTTTTATTAATGTTTCCATACAAATAGGAGTTTGCTCAAAGTCCAATGACACACTACAGTCAAGAAATCAGGTCAGAAACCACAGAGCAGGCAGAGAGCAGCACTTCCACTCAGGGAAAGTCATTACATCTTCTAAATCACAATCTTCTAAATCACAATGAAAAGCTGACATCTCAAAACACCCACAAAGTGTCCTGCTCTCTGTATTTAATGTTGATAGATCATTTCACTTCAATTTTGGACCATGTTTATATTTGTAATCATAACTAGATAAGTTCAAACTAAGTCCTGTTTAAACTCCTTGTGTAACACTTTCAGTTTCATTGAATCAGGGTTTTTTTTATGGAATATATTTCATTAGCAGGAAATTAACAACTTATTTCCTCTAGAGTTAGAAGTTTCTTCTCAGTGATGCATAACCCTGTCTCTCAAAAACATAAAGGTAAAAAATTCCTCATGCAACTAGGTTGTTCTCAGCTGAGGGGGTTTTTTTTTTTAGAATCCAAGCTCAAAAAGTTGCATGGATCTCACCAGGGCCAAGTACGATAAACATCCTCTGTGAAACACTAACAAAGCCAGCATTTAAATAAGTATCATGTCCAATATTAATGCTTACTAAAAAAAAGAATCACTAACTGAATATCACACAGTAAAAAAACAAAAAAAACAAAAAAAAACAACCAACAATCAAGCGGCTGTATACCCTGAATTTTCATAAAACCTGTAAGGGGAAATATTTTTAGTATCCTCACAGGTAACCTCACAGCATTCATTATTCTTCTGTACATGCTTCTAAAGCAAAAGAACAGAATGAAACTATTTTTTCTGCTGAAGTTTTGATTGCTGTTGGAAATATTTCAGCCATTTTCCATTATGCAAATCATAGAGCGACATTATGCAGCCATTGTGAACATTCATGCACAAAGTGGCTTAGAGTAACTTTATCTCAGACAAACAGTTAAAATAATGAAATGGCAACTAATTGTTCTAGCTGCCTTTTGGGTGGTTTTACCTGACAGAAGACTATCTTACATGATCTTTAAAGATAAACCATCCCAACTACTTTGAATGGAGGGATCTACCTTATAAGCAGAAATTTGCAGATTTTTATCCACTTACATAGATATACGTACACAGGAACACAACAGCTAGATTTTACTTTCACTAAGTCATAGAAAACAACTTTCTCTTTCCATTCAGGAATGAAGCCTTCCAGCTGAAGACATGACATGGTCCGAGAAGGAACAGCACAAGTGACCTGCCTTGCTGTGCCTCCTCCCACGCTGAACTGCCCGAAGTTCTACCCCTGCTCACACCAGACCCTGTAAGTACCCCACACTTACGCAGTGGACTCGTAGGCGAAGTTGAGCAGGATTCCATCTCCCAGACTGATTCCCAGTGCTTGGCACAGCCCCACAATCTCCCCCGCGAAGGGCTGCGGCATGAATTGCTCCAGCTCCGCTGCTATGGGTCGGATGACCTGGTGCACCCATTTCGGGACGCTCTCGCTGCAAAACAACCCGAGGCGTCAGCCGAGCGAGGGACGGCGGTGCCAGCAGCTCACCCCGACACCCCCCCGTGCGGCACTCACTCGATGACCCGGGCCACGGCGGCGCGCAGGAAGGCGGGATCGAAGTGTCTCAGCACGGGCAGCCAGCGCTGCTCGGCCGGGCTGTCCAGGCTCACGTTGCAGCGCAGCGGGGCCACCGCCGCGGCCGCCCCGCACAGCAGGGCCAGCAGCGCCCACGGCCCGCAGCCCATGGCGCAGCACAGCGCGGGGCCCCGCGGCCAGCCCGCCTTCCCCGCAGCCACAGCAACCACAGCAGCCACGCCCGCCGGGCAGGGCCGGGACATCGCAGCGCCCGCCCCGAGGCGTGCCAGCCGGGCCGGCCCGCAGCCGGCACCCCCGCACCTCGGGCACGACACGGGGTGACAAAGTAACCACCGACAGCGGTACAGGCTGCCGCTTAACACGGGCATTTCCCCCGCGCTCCTGCTTGCCTAAGTTTATAAGAGGCAGTCCAACGCTGTCCTTTTTACAAGGAGGACAGGGGACAGACAGACTTGGCAGTAACTGGGCATAACTCAGCTTGCTGGGTCACACAGCAAGGCTGTAAACAAGAGGGAAAAGGGAAGAGAGGACACTAGATACTTGTTCTGAACTCCGAGAGCAAAACTTAACTCTCCCTTTCAGCCTCAGAAATCATTAGTTTTTGAACACATCCACATGAAGGGAAGCCACTCAATTCTTCAGCACAAAAGTAACAAGAGCAAGAACACACTGTACTTGCCCTCTCTTCCCCTTATTTTTATCTCTTCAGCCCCTGCTCCACACTCCATCCCCACACCACTGCAGGTCCTCTGCATCCCTTCCATCTCTCCAGCTCTGGGCTACACATCCTTGACCTGGCCAGCTCACTGCTATCATTGCCAAGTAGCCATTTCTGCCATTCCCTCAGCAGTAACATACAGTTGCAATACAAAATGGCAATTTGCAAGAAAATCCTACTTGATTTTTCTCTCCTGGCTCCCTGAAACCTCTGTAAGCTTTTTTGGTCTAGGAAGATTGTGACAAAACAGTATACAATCAATATAATTAGGAATTAAAGTAAATAGAAACACTTATTCAACATGAAAAATAGCTAAACTGCACTAATTCCCACACAGAAGATAAGCAGTAACCCAGCTTCCAAAAAATAAAGGAAAAAAGCACCCCACCAAATGCTTTTCCATTACACTGTGCTTGTGGCACCTGTTCCTGCCCCACAAGGAAACCCATTTCAAACAGATTTTGACCAAGGATGTTATAAATAAATCCCTCAAGTTACAATTTATCAACTCCATTATAACAGGTGGCTGGGGAAGGTACAAAGCCCATTAATGGTCCCAGCAGAGGTCAGTGCTGAAGCACAAGTTAAACCTTACATAAAGAATCCAGAGATGCACATTTTTCTCACATGTACTTGCCAAGAGACACCAGCCAGTCCCTCCCTTAGACCCACCAATATAGGAAAACATTCCTTTTTCTCTCTGGCATGTAAGGGTAGCATCCTATTTAAATGGCAACATGAAAACCATCTCCCATACACTAATTTTATTTTCTTCATGAGCTGCAGTAACACTGATCTTACTTGAGCTTACCTGAATTACACAAGAATTTGGTCTGATTAGATTAGTCCAAGACAGCTGCTCAAATACCTTACTCAAGTCTGTACAGCCACACCCTTAAGACATGCACAGACACTACTTGCACATGCTTTAGACTGATGAGAATATTCTTTGCTTCCCATTACTTATTCAAGAATTGCCTCAAGTCAAATATTTTAACAACAAGGTTGTGTATTTTAATACTTACACTTACAGTGGGTTTTATGTTAATTACATTAAATAAAAAGATTCTCCTCTAGAATGCTTTAAAAATAAAATTAAAACCCTCCCAAGTTTAAGGCCTCTATCTGTCCTATAGATGCAGAATCCATCAGCTTGCAAGAGTTCCAGTTTTAACTCTGAACTGAAGAGAGATAAATCCACAGAGCACCACAGTCCCTCTTTCCCTCAGGGGGATGGCGGGTGGAAAGAAGTATTTCCAGGGCTATTTCTTCAAAGGTGATTAAGTTCTCTTCAGCTCTTATTTCAGCAGCTTTTTCCTCTTTTTCAGAAGTGCATCTCGAAGAGCAATCTGAACATGAGTCAAGAGTGGAATGATCAGGTAAGGAGAATAATAACTGACACAACAACACCGCAATCACATCAACGATCCTTTTCAATTTCTTTAACCTCTGAGAAAAACACTAAGAGCTCATCAGCTCCAGCTGGGAGCAACAATAGCAAATGTTAACTACAATGGCAGAAACACTTATTTTAGCTGAACTCCACAGTACAATTAAAGGGCTGAGCAATACCAAATACTACACAATGAAAGATAAATGTCAGTTCTTCCACTGACTCATTTTCATCGGAAGATATCAAGACAAAGCTCCAGCACAGATAAGAGGTAAGTGAAAATGTTATTTTGGGAAGGCATATAACAGAACTTCTTTTCAAGGGGCAAGGAAGAATGTTTACAAGTGCCATATCACTCTAGAGAGATATTGTACATTTCAGACATGGTTTAGCTGGTAAAGGATCTAGTGGTAGAACTGTAGACAACAGGCCATTTTATTTTGCCCCCCCAGAAGTGCTGCAGAATGCAGTGTCACACAACTATGGTCCTCCAACCCACTCAGAAAAGTTGCTTGCAAGTCATGTTTAATAGAACTGATACTGTAGCATAACACCAGTGAAAAAGTATGAATAAATTGTTCTTTCGTTGTTTTGCCATTATATTTAACTCTAAACATTAGTCAGGACTAAGAACAAAACATTCAAGAGGATTTTTTGTAAGTGAGCCAAGAACCACTGTCAACAGCAGCTTCCTGGAAGTGCCTGGATTGTTTATTTGCAACTTATTTTGTGTGTTTTGAGAGCAGGGTTAATATAGTCAGCCTTAGGTGAGGCAGATCAAAGTACCACAGAGGATATTAGCCTACATCTTCCTGTTTAACAGAAACACTTAAGACATTCTCTACTAAGTTTATAGACAGCTACAGTCTTGCCATTCTCAAGGCAGCAAATTGCAAACCAATCCATTGCAAACCATTATCCAAATGATATGATCCTGCAAACACATCACAAAAGAAGCCTCTGAAAGCACTAACAAGACAAACTAGCAAGGAGGAAAAAAAAACCCACCACATATAAGACAACTACATAACTGGATTATTCTACAAATTTCTGGGACATGTCTGGATGAGTTCAGTTTACTAACACCTTGTGAAACCCTGGACTGGCAAAGGCCTCACCACTGAGAGCAGCATTATGGTCAAACTACTGCTAAACTGAGTTATTTTTTCCAGCTCGCTTCAGGTAGCAATAAATGTCCTTAAAGAACTGCTGTAAATGCTATTTGTGAAAAGCTATTAGATGACCTCAAGGCCAGGACAGATGAGTTCATAACACAATAGTAACAGGGCAAAGGTCAAAGAAAGACTATGGGAGAGTAAAGAAACACACTAAAAGCTTGCCTTTAGAAAGAACTCTATCAGAGAAACACTTCTTCTATCATGGGATTACATTCAGGATTCTATTATGATATCTTCAATGTATGTAAAGGAGAGCAAAACCTTCCAAACCTACACTTGACTCTGCAACAGGGTTTGCACCTCAAAACATGTTAGAGGAGCCCATCAGAAACATTCACTACAGTCTCCAATACAGCTTGTCCTCTGGGGCACAGTTCAGGGAAGCCAAGCCCACAGGCTTTGCAGCAATTACACCATCTGAGTTAGCAGCAACACCTCAGGACAGAGGGTGCACAGCATTACACCTGCACTTTGAGTTTGAGCTCACACAGCCCCATCCTTTTCCAGCACTAATCATTACCTGTTTCTCCCTGAAGGAACGCTTGTTCTTGGTCCGGACACTATGGCTGTATCTCATCATCATGAAGTTCTTGTTCTTTTTCTTCTCTTTGTTGGAAGAGCTGGCAAAGGGGTTAATTCTTGTCTTCTTTTTCACAAATTCTTTCCTGTCTGTTTTTCCAGCCTGGAATAAACATTGGAGTAGAATAACATGGGGTCACTTTCGTTTTGCTTCCCCACAGTCAACGTCAGCTGCCTGATGGTAACAGGTTCTATGGCAGTAACAATAAACTTGGATTTAGGATGTCTTTGTGTCCACACCTGCATTCTCCTATGCTGGCTGTATTTCTTAAGTCACAAAGTCGGGTGAGTTTGTACTTTCATGGTCACCTGTGACCAGCAACAGGCTGTTTCTTGCAGCCAAAATGCAACAGCAAAAAATTGAAATCATTTCTCAAAACGCAAATAGCAGCTGGGCATCCATCTCACAGGTGCAACCCCAACACCTCCTCTTTCTGCAGAAGGCAAACATAACCCTGACTCTGCAAAGACAAGACACAAAACATCCCAGTTCCTCACCATTGCAGTTGCCAGTCTGGTCTCCTTGTCTGACTTGGGCTTCTTATGCAGATGTTCGATATCTCTGAGTGAAAGCAACTCCCCCCTACACAAACAGAAATCCAGCAAAAGGTCACCACCCACAAAACTTCACCTGGCAAGGAAAACAAGATGCCCTCTTGCTCTCTAACCCATCTCTTACACCACTGTCTTACCATAAACTCAGGCACAAACTTCTTGTTCTCTTTCAGGTTATTCCTCATGCACGGGACATCCCCCTCAAAAGCTGCCATTACTGTTTTTAAAGTCCTGCTTTATCCACAATTACACAAACTCTGGAGAATTAACCATGCAACTACTGCTACTGCTCTTGGCCTGAACAAGCCAAACAGGCTCAGACCTTCCACAGGCCCCTCATATCTCTTCTCCCAGGTACAATGCTGAGCCAGGATCCATTCTAGGCCACAGCTGTTTGCTACCTGTCTCCAGGGAATATTGATCAACAGTAGAGCTCTGTACCCTGCTGTAGTGAAAAGCTGTTTCACCAGATGACAGTCCATATCCTACCTGCCCTCTTCCTCTTCATCATCTATTTCAATGTATTTCCTCTTTGCAGCTTTACCAGGCGCAGAATTTATTTCTTTAGAAAGCTGGGCAAGACGTATTTTCTGGAAGTCTTCTTGAGTCAGCAGCCTGCTCGTACTGACTGCTGCAGCCTTGGCTTTCCGCTCCTCTATGGGCATGCTTTTCACCTTCTCTGCCTTGGGAAAAGAAACATGTACAAAAGAATCACCTAGAGCTTGGCCAGTCGCTTCTGTGCCACAATCTATGACCATTACCTCCCAAATATTTAGCATGTAAGGGCAGTATTGTTGGGAAACGCTGTTAGGATTCTTCTTAGTGTTATATCCAACATCTGGTGTTTGAATAGATTACATACATACCCTATTTTAGGATAAGTACAAGCACTCACAAATATCACAGCTCTGAGACAGCATTCCCCCTTCTCCCCCCAAGGTATGTACTTCAGCACAGTACTAAGCAGCATTCAAATCTCATTTCTTCTGCACAGGTTACACTGAAGCCCTGTATAATTATTTATGAGCAGCCACATAGAAGTATAGAGCATCAGAATCTTGTCTGCAATTAACAAGACCACTGTATATTTGAGACAGCAGACTTGGAACTCACTACTTGTTGCTGCTGCTCCTCATCTGAGGAGTGATGCACATCAATCCATTCTCCATCTTCATTGTCCTCCTCACTCAGACTAGCACTTTCCCAGCCATCTGCTCAGGGAAGAAACACAGACCAGTTAACATGGACTCATCTTAACTACCTCAATTAGAAATAATGCATTCTTGGATCACCTGCTCTTAAAGTCTTTCATCACCCCTCTCCTAACTGCATTTCGCCCGGGGACACGATGCCAGCTTTGCTCTGCAAAGCTTAACTCTCACCTCAAGGTCAATATCCTGAAAACAGCGCATTTGGGACACTCTCTGAAGCCCCACAGTAGCTGAGAGATGCTAACCCTTATTACACTCCTCAGCAATGGTGGTCTCTCCATCCTCCATATAAATCAAGGAGGGAAACAATGTGCTTTATAGCTACCTTACTACACTATAGGCATTGCTCCTCTTTGCTGCTGTTCTGACTGAAGTGCTGAAGTTACCAGCCTCAGAGCCAAGCAGATTGTTACACTAATCACTGCATTCTCATGGGTGAAAAGCTTGGCATCTCAGGGCATTTATTCTTTCCATCACCTCTCCTGCAACATCTCCAAAGCACTCTGGCTTCATTTCCCAAACTCTGCCTTGCTTTCAAAGACTCCTCCATCTCTTTTCCCTCATTCAGGTGGGTGCTCCAGGTTGTGTAAAGCATTTGCACAGAAAGTGAGTTTAAGCCAAATATTACTTCCTAGTAACTGATAATTCTCAGCAACATCTCTTCAGCAGGAGCTAAACATAGGATGTTTCATAGCTGTACAATGTGTCTCTGCTTTTCCATCCCACAAAGCAACACAGCAACAAACCCCACTAATGCACTTCACGGGTACAGGGAAGTGCAAGCTACACAAGAAGGCAGAAAAATTAAATGCACAAACACAAAGTGTTACATGAAATCTTACTGATAGTGATGCCCAAAATACAACTAAAAAAACCCCAAAAATGGTCTACCTTCCTCTTGGGTTCCTCCCTTTTCCTTTTCATCCTCAACCTCCAGTACTTCTGCTCCTGGAATGTAGTCTTTGGCATCCAGTTCTCCATATTCATGGATCCTGGCTTCCACTGAGGCCTCAGTAGGCTTACCCTGTACATTAAAAAAAAAAAAAAAGTACATTGGGCAGGCTGCTATTTTAGTGCCCACAAATCCATGAAAATGTCTGGCAGAACAGGAAGGTGTGGCTGGAAAAAGATAAATTTTGCTTGATGAAATAAAGATCTTAATTACTGAAGTTGAAAGAACTCTAGCCAAAGAGCACACCTTTTGGAGCACAATCTATCCATGAGTTAGATTAATTTGAACTAAGGAAAAGTGGAAATAAGAGCAGACCATGTCCAAAGGTAGCAGGCAGGGGAAGAACACAGGCTGGACTCCACCTCATTCTCAAGAGGTCACTGAGATCAGGTTTTTTTGAGCACCTTAGTTCCCAGTGAACCCAATGCACATGAAATACTTACCCTGAACTTCTTCTGCAGCATCTCCGGGTTCAGGGAGCGGAACAAGTGTATCAGAGTTCTTGCAGACATCATCACATCTACCCAGGAAGAGAGTCAGGAGTCAGTACCAAACACCAGAATTCTGAGCAAGCAAAGCCCACTCAGGTCATCAGCATTCACAGCCTTCTCTGAACTTATGGTTCCCCCTCTGATTTCTCTGCTGCAGAACACAGCACTTCCTTAGGGCTTGCTCTTAATCCATTTCCTTTTTTATCCTGGTCCCTTATTTCCCCTGCCATAACTATCCATGACTTTTGCCTCCCATGGATACACACTCCAAATACAGCAATATAACCCAAATACTCCACGTGTCCTCTTAGCCCATAAAAACCCATTAAGACAACACTATTACAAAGGCTATAAGAAAGGAGCACAAAATAAAAGAGAAAAAATATTTTAAAGCTATATCAATGTAATATTTACTTTTATTTTTATGAGTCTTGTACTGAACGAGGTCTTGGAGCAGGTCTTCAGTCATGGCTAAAGGACATCTCGCAGTGATTTCTTTTATTGCATTGATTCTAAAAGAATTGAGAATTAATCATTTTCTCACACCAGTTAGGACAAAATCCTACCAGTAGACTGAATTATCTGAAACTCAAGGAACCCTATACTAGATTTATACAAATCTAGTGTAATAGAAAGCCATTGTAGAACACTTCCACAAAACCACAAAGTTTAAGCTGAGATATTGTCCTAATTTGTTTTTACTCAAGTAGGTTCTTGAAATCATAGTAAAAATGACACGAATAGCTTGCAAGTGGTTTAAAAAAATACATTTTATCATACTCAGAGTTCAAGATGTTTGCATGATCCTGTACCCACCCTACAGTCATGACCTCCCCCGAATTCTTGTCAGTGACAAAGTTGTTGGCAATGGTCATCAACACTGACTGAATGATCTGAAAGAAGAATGCACATTGAATAAAAGCTTAGACATCATTAAGACAGAGCTCAGGATACATCACTACAGCCCACAATTATTTTCTGGACACTAGTTCTCTTGCAGAAAGTAAGACAAGCATGTTGGGTTTTATCCCCCCTTTTATATGAAACAATACCTTGGAACTCGCAAAAATAGCTGAAGTTACCATCAGCTTTTCCAAACAGTCTGCCCAGATTCCCCTTCTCCCCACAAATACACTCCTACTTCCATGCTGGTCTGCTGCCCATTTAGCATCAAACAGGCAGAATACTGACCTCAGGTGGTACCAGCTGATGTGAAGCCTGTGCAGCAAACAGAAGGATCTTTGTCACCTCTGGAAGAGAAGTGGGAAGATGCCAAAAAGTATGACTGCACCTTTCTCTGGTCTATAAACACATCTGCCAAAACTCAACAAGCTGCTTGCTCAGTCAGTCCCAAAGCCACCCCAGTTTGAAGTTATTTGGGACAACTATTTCTCCTCTCCCACCAAGCCTTGGGAATATTCTGGCCTCCACCCACAACAGTGCAGGCCCTCAGTGGCCACCAAAGGCAAAAGCAAAGGCTCCACAACTAGGATCAACCATCTACAAAATGATGCAGCAAGAGGCAGCCATGCTTTGCTCAGCTGTTCAGGATTAGGGACTCAGATCCATTTTATGCCATTGCTGAAGTTTCTCAAATCCTCAAATAAGAAGCCCTGAGTGTACACAGCTTCCCAAGAAGTACAAAGCACTCAGCACTTCTGGCAGTCAGGGACTTCTACTTCCATCTTCTACACTCTGCACTACTCCTACTTCTCACCAAGCCACTGCTACCTGTCCACTTACAGCACCACTTCCATGAAATGACTGCACAAAACATGGATCAGCAGTGCTACAAAGTAGCTACTTACCTCTCTGATGGGGTTGTAGGAATCTCTGAACAAAGGGGTAGAAGTTGAAAAGGAACAGCTGCAAAAAAAGTTGTGACATTATATTCTTGTCTTTGTTTTATTACATTATCAGCTTATGAAGGTGATCTCAAGTTTAATCTCATTCTGTAGCATGCTCTTCACATGCCTAAGATTTTATGGCATGATGTTGTCTCCTATGTTCAGTTTGATATTTATGGAGCTAAGGAAATGACTTGTACTCGGATAAACACAGTTCAGCCTCTCTGCACCCACTTCTTTGCATTGAAATCCTTTCATCCTCTGAACCCCCCCCAACTTGGACTGAATTACTCTTCACTTCATACAGTGCAAGTATTTTATCACTGGGTAGTCAGCACAAACCCCTTCAAGTGCAGGAGCTGCCAGTTCCCACCTTGTTCAGCACCACCTCACTGACACTGTGGTCAGCATGGGCAGCTTCCCAGGAAGGTCTTGGAAGAGACAAGTTCTTGCCTATTCTTCAGGGATAGCTCAGCAATTCCAGACTAACACCCTGCTCAGTGCCACACAAGTCAACACTCTGTGCTGTTCCTTGAGGCCCACTGGCAACTACCTGACCATTCACCTGACTTCTTGATATACAGAAGAATTAAACATCATTTTCCTGAGGCACAAGGCCAGCACATGCCTCCACCCAAGCCAGGTGGGCTACCCAGCAGACCATTAGAAAATCCAGGTACATACCTCATGTATTCCAACCAGCCTGGATATCAGGTCCATGAGCATCATCTTCACTTCAAATCGCTCCTTGCAGTTCTCCAGCTGCTTCAGCAATTTCTCAGCAAAGTCTGAAACAGCAGTAATAAATTTGTAGTAGTCCAAAAGAGCACAACTCAACTGGGATTAGGGTAAAAAGAGGGAGTCAGTTTTGACTGCTTTCAAACCATAATGCCCTTGTAGAGAGGAAATTCAAGGTGGTCAAAGCACTTCTCCTAGTGGTTTATTTTTCTTCTCACATGCCTAACAGTGCTGAAGTTGTGCACAGATTCAGAGGAAAACTAGCACACATTCCCCATCATAAGCACAGGGTTTAAAGCTGGATTTTTTAAACTACATTTTGGGCCCATCTGAAAAACAAAATCGCCCAAAGTTCACTACATCCAACTAAGACAAAATCAAGTGCTGTTAGACAAGTATCAGGCTAACAACAGAAATACAGTGTAAAAGGGAGTAAGCCAAAGAAGCTTCGTAGGTAAACTGGTGTTCCCCAAATTATGGCCTTCACATACGCAAGAGAAGCAGAGAGCTCCATTCTGACCTATAGCAACCCAAAGTAGATAAGATTCCTCCCTTCTTGTCTCACCTCCCTGTGTTCCACTAAAACAAGCAGAACAGGACTCATCTCACTCTCTTAAAGTGCAGTGAAACACTAAGATAAAACACTTTAAGTGTCACATCTGCACCTACTCAGCACTTTCGTTCTCCTGGCAGAGCTGTGTCCAAGCTTTAGCATCTGAGATTAACACAGGCTTGCAATAAGAGGAAACACAGTGCATGCTCACCTTGGGGATCATGAATCAAGTGAATAGCAGAGAAGTTAAACACCTCTGGCTTGCTCTTCTTTTTCTGTTTCTGCATGGAAAAGAGTAAGAGACATTCTTGTCTTTCCATAAGGAAAGTGCTTCAGTTTTAAGCTTGCTGTCTAAAGATGCCTCTTCAAAAAAGAGACACCAAGATTTTAAAAACTCTCCCTCTTTGAAACCACACAGGGTTTTCTGCTACCTGTAGCTAAACCAGCAGGGGCAACAGCACAGCTCCTGCACTTGAAGGATTAAGCTAAAACACTGTGAAATCAGACACCCTTCTCCTCACCTTGAGGACCTTCATGGCTTTCTCCAATTTCTTCTTGCGCTTGGTGGTTTTCTTGTTGGTGGCGTAGCGCATCATCAGATCTCTGGCTGTGGGGGCATCATCCTTAGGAAAGAGGGGAAACAAGGCTCAGGTGATGCCAGGCTTCAAATGGCAGTCAGAGAAACACACCATCAATATTCTTCAGGATCACATACTATATTTAAGAACTTGCCCCCCTTCTGAAGTGTCACCACATAGGTAACAGTATTTAAGGAGAAAAGCAAAGGAGCTCTTGGCATTTGTCTTTTAACAGACAGCTAAAGCATCCTGCCTCCTGGAGCCACCTGTCAGACACTGAACTTGGTGTGAAGCACAGAAACACCTGGAGAAAACTAGGTGGGAAAACTAAGCAGCAGAGAAGCAGACAGATGGGCAGGGTCACTAGGATGGCAGACCTATTAAATGTTTGAAGAATAGAGAAAAGAAGATTTCATCATAACACCCACCTCAGATTCTGAGTCACTGTCTTGTTTCTCATCTTCATCCTTCCCAAGAAAGAACTTCAAACTTGCAACTAACACCTGAAAAACCAAGTGAACTCATGTGGGACAGGACAAGCTGACAGGAGTATTCACAACCACCCTACACCTACATCTCAGGCTGTGCAGAGACTCATCCAGTTTTTTATAGGCTTGGATATGATCAGAAAAACTGAAGGACAGCTTGGAAGCCACAGGTGTTTTACAGACCCAGACCATTTTCACTGCCCATCATCACTCAGAGGCACTCAGTCACACCTGGGCTTCCACAATGCCTGGAGCAAATGCCCAGCTGCAAATTCTCTATTATCCTGCAAATCCATTTCACTAATCATTTCATGTCAACATTGTCAAAAGCCCCTACACAGGTGATACCCAAGATAATGCTCAGAACTCTAAACTTCCATTACTTTATATGGTTTTATTGTAGTTTTGCTTGGTTGGCTTTTACTGATCAGAACAGCTTTTAGACCCTTAACAAGTTAAAAACTTGTCTTTAACCATAGTAAAAGTTCTTTAAAGCCTCCTGAATCAGCACAGAAGGCCCAGTATTCACTCAGGCCCCAGACAGGGCAGCTCCTCTCCTCATTTTTAACTAACTAAAGCCTCACAGCATGCTATTTCAAGGAGGTGATATTTCAACAACCTCTTGTGAACAGCAGTGGGACATGTACCCACTCTCCCCATGCCAGCCTGTGTTTGTTGCTGGATAAGCTGCCAATTCTGCTCCTCTGTACTTAAGAGCCAAGCTCTGCCTCCTCCCATGAGTGCTGTTTTGAAAGTTCAAAACGAAGTCAGCGAAGTTTGTTTGCAATAAAATATTAAGCTACATTCACAGGAAGATGATGTGAGGTAACATCCCATTTCATCAAGTAATTTCTGTTCTCACCTTGGTCACTTTGGAAAAGCAAGCAGTTGTGATGACATTGACTGTTTTGGCATCATTCCTGGAATAAAAAAAAACCAGCACCTTTTACTTGAAGTTTTGCCATTTCACATTTTTCTCAGGAAACTAGTTCTCATAATGTATTGAAATTAAGTAACTCATTTCACACAAAACGTTATTTCTTCTCGGCTAAATCCTTGGCACAGGATACAGCCCCACTGGGCCACAATTAATACATATGTATTTATGTCCCTGTCCCCTGGATTGCTTTGGACTACATGCCACAAAGCAATGTCCCTCTGCCCCACAACAAATCCTGGAATCAACACAAGCCTGCCAGACCCACCAGATGTTCCTTCTGTAGAGTTCTATCATCACATCCAGAGAGATCTTGGCAGCAGTGGGATTGCTGTCTCTCAGCATTGTGTACATGAAGTTCTGCAGTGTCTAAAAAAAAAAAAATTGCAAACACTTTATTAGAAGTCTTCCACAAGAGCAGAAGGTCAAATCCAAGTACAAGTGAAAGCCCAAACACTTACCGTGTTCACTTTGTTGTTTTTGTGCTTAGCATTGACATTCTTGATGTCTGTCACAATGTGAGTGTACAAGGTCTGTAAAGGAGAGATGACAGGGAGTAACACAGGTCATGCAAGGAACAGACATTACTGTGCCCTCACAGTTGCCAAGGACCAAAGTGAGACCCACCTCACCACTGCTGAGCATATAACCCTAGGCTGCAACTACAACAACAGCAAGTTAAAGTCTCACTTGAACTCTCTTCACATATTTAACCAGTGTATTTAGTTCACAGTACAGCAAGGCAAGACTATCAACAGCATCAAGTGTTGCTGAACGAAATCCCACCCTGCCTCCTTCAGGCCTGTTCTGATAACCAAATTAGGGGCACAGTGTTCTCCCTTTCATGGCAGTAAAGCCTGTAACAGCTTTCAGCAGCAGCTGGTTTAGTTGTAATTGTTTTACTCAGAGGTTGACACACAACTGAGTAAAGGCAGCACCAACAGCAACCAGTTTATGGTTTTCACCTGCAGACACACCCAAGCTGCTCCATCCCAAACACAGGACAGGCCTAGAGCCTGCAATGGCAAAGTCAGGCCTAGAGCCTGCAATGGCAGCACAACACAGAGCTGCAGCCCCTCCTCTGACAACAACTAGCGAAAATCAGAGCTAGTTTAAACTTATTTTATTGCCAAGCAAAGAGGAGCTGCTTATTTTGGAAATACTTCTGGCAAGTTGGTCCAAACATCCTGGAGACAAAGAAGACCATGAGCACAGCTTACCTTTCGTAGCAGCTTATCGTGGCACCGCAGCAGCTGAAAGAAGAGCTCCAGCAAACTCGTGGGATTTATTAGATTCTTGTTTCTCAACAGGATCAAAGCCTTGCAGAATGTCTGTAAGAGAAATCCAACTACCATAATGCTCTTCAGTCTCCATGCCAATTGAAAAGCAACCCTTAAACTCTCAGCTTACACCAAGGGGTGTGTTACCCTCGGGCAGGGAGTGCCCCAGAGTGGTCTCACCATGCGCAGGTCGGGGTCCAGCACTGTATGGTGGTAGGAGAGCAGCTCCTTCAGCTGCTGCGGGAAGTTGGCCATGTGCTCGGGATAGCAGTGGGCCACCTGCAAGGGAGAGGCAGGGTAACGCTCTAGGACACACCTGGCAAGGTGTAAACAACCACGAATATTTTAAGTGTTCGTATTATACCAATAAGAGGCACTTAAGCCTGTACACAAGCCAAGCTGCCCCCGCCGCCGCGCAGCCCCAGGCACTGGCGCAGGGCTGGGCGCCGTGGGCTTACCTGCGCCAGGAACATCACCAGTTCGGCCAGCTCCTTACTGGGCTTGTCCGGCTGGAAGGTGAAGATCTCCACATGGGACTGGTAGTGGTGGTACTGCTGCAGGAACTGAGCACACACAGGGAATGGGTGAGCGCGGCCGGCAATACCCACCCGTGTCTCCCCCTCCACAGCCCGCAGCCCAGTCCGGCCTCCCCCAAGACCTCCCCGCGCTCCGCACCTCCTCAGTGTAGGACGTGGGGTCCCTCTTGATGAGGTTCTGCAGCTGGGGCAGGTTGCTGGGCAGTTTGTTGCCCTGGCGGCCCGACATGTCTGCGCGGCGCCGGCACTGCCGGGACACGTGAGCGATCGGCTGGGCGCCGCCATGTTGGCCCGCCCCTCGACGGGCGCCGCCGGGGGACAAAGCTCGGCGGGAGGCGCGCACCTGCACAGCGCCCTCCGCGGGCAGCGCTCGGGGAGGGCACCCGGGGAAGGAGCTCTGCTGGAACCCCTTCCCAGCGGGACAAAGGCCTGAGGGGGGACCTCTGGGATTAAACACAACGCCAACCAAGGGGACTGACCATAGCTGCCTCTGGACGGCTTCCCCAGGGATTTCTCCCCAGCACTTGTCACTTCAGCACAGCTGATACTTCCACTCTTCCTCTCTTCCCAGCTACTTCAGGGAAGCTGTGTCATCATATAACTCAGTCATTATAGAAGTTGGGAGCATCAAAAAGGAAGACTCAATCAGGACAACAAGTTTATGCTAGCTTCATCTTTTCTGAATTAAACTTTCAATCAAGATAATAGAAAGCAGAGCTCTTCATTTGCATAGCTTATACTGTTTTAAGCAAACTGCTTATTTTACACTGTAGGAACAGGTTTATATTCCTTTATACAATTAATAAATGCTAGTAAATAAATTATATGCAATTATTCCTCTTCCATAGAGCCATATATAGTGAGTATCAGAAGAACATCAGGACTCAGACATGGCACAGTCTGAAAAACATCAACATAACTTCTTTTATGTCAGCCAACACTCACCTCACTGAAAGGCTTTTTATTATGCTAGTAGGAATCTCACAGCCACATGTAACCACTTAAACACATACTTAGTAATAGGTTCACCTGGTTCAAGTGAGTTTGGGCTTTCCTGTACCCATTAGAGCATGAAAAGCACATCCTCCCTTGCATACCTACATAGCTGCCAAACACCTGGTTTTAGCCTCAATGGAAGGGCAAAATGACTGCAAAGGTAAGAGCAGAACTTGTGGGCTGTTACCAACTGCATAGAACAAAAATAAGCTCTCCATTACCCAAATAAGTAAGTGACTACTTAATATATTTATCTCACCAGATATTAATTAGCTCCTTCATTAGCATCTGGATCTGTTTAGCCTCTGCTCCCAGGCAGCTCTACTCTATTCAGCATTCCAGCACAGCCCTAAAACAACCCAGCTGAGGAACTAAATCCTGTACCTTCACTGGTCAAACCTTACCTTAACACAGTTAAGCCAAAGTTTTATACAACCAAAATACTGCTACACAGGAGGTGTTCAGCTTGGTAGTCAGTAAAAGTGGTAAGCTTTGCAATAAACTGCTTCAACAGGGAAGTAAGTCACTGACTTCAATGTAACACTTCCAGTAAAAGTGAGAAGCAACTGCATTGTTTAAAGAAACCACAGAACAAAACAACCTTGTTCATACCAAAGGATAACCTATAAGCAATTAATACTTCCATAGAAGCAATACTATTGCTTTTGTTTCTGCAGCAGCTATTGAAAGGGCCAGAGAAGTTAACAATTCACTTCAGCCATATAGAAACATACTGAAATTAGAAACTATCTTGCTAACCTATTTTTTTAAAGCTCTGCCAACTTTTATATTGAAAGCCCATTCTTTCTTAAGCAGCCAGTGCACAGTAGAATAGCATTTACAATAAAAACCATCTATATAAACTTTTAACAAAATTTTTACTGAAGAAACCTATAATGCTAACATCTATATTAAAAAGCATTATAAAAACTATTTTTTTAAAAGCAATCTAACTTTCAGGTAGCATCAGAAAAAGTGAAAAAAAGAAGCCCATAAACTAAGCAGTCAATTCTTATTAAAACCCCAAAAGTTACCTTACCACATCCCCACTGCTCCAACACAGAAGAAAGCAAGGAGTGATAATAGGCCTGGGTTTGAGCTTTTATACCCTGAGCCCGTTGCCCCCTGCACATTGATTGGTCTGATTTCTACCAGCTAATTAGGCCAGGAATATTTAAACTCAGGACAGATGGGCTTTTTTACATCTGTTTAGTGGTGGGGTGTGTGGATATTCCTCAGGGAGGTTGCTTGCTCACTTTAAGGTAAGAAGTATAAGTTTACTTCTTTATGTTGTTTTGGAAAGCATATTGTATCTTTGCAGTGACTAGAGTAACTTAATTAATATCCTTAATGATGTTATTTGTGAAAAATATTTTTGGTTGCGTTATAGACAAAAAGGTTTTCTTTGTTTTTGTTGTGGTTGTTTGTATCATAGGCAGCTCTTGGCTCTGTTTTGCCTTTGCTGTAGTCAGCCCCTTTCTTTCCATTCAGACGAAAGCTGTAAAGTTTCAGTTTTCACAGTGTCTGGGAGGCTTTCCTTGAACTCATTTAGGGTATTTGATTACCAGCATTTCATTTAAATAGTGTCAATTCTTGGCCTTCTGTTGCTGTAGGGAATTTGTCTTTCTGGACTTCATACTTGTAATTTTCTAATTAAGAAGAGGGTTAGTGCTCTTTTCCTTTAAAAAAAACCAGGCAAGTCTTTAAGTCCAACAGAAATACTTATTTCTGGATCGTGACTCATAAATTATTTACAGGCTTAAGGCACAGGAGTTCTGTGTTGTTGTTTATCAGAACAGGGAGATGTTACAGTAATGGCTTAAGAAATGCTCAGTCACTTGCAGGTCCTGGGGGAGAACAACAGTCCTAGCTAATGGTGCTGATGTCAGGAATCTGGGTGGCACTGGGGGATATTCAGCCTCAGCTTTGCTTGCTGTGATCTTTCTCTGAAGGGAGGAACTTCTTGCAAATCACTTTTTAATGGCCAAAACTACCATGTGCTGAGTAGTAACCAATCCACTGTCTAATTCTTCCTAACCTAAAAATATGTTGCAAGTTTTGTTTCAATAAGGGGCAGTGAAGGTGCATGTTGCAATTCAGTTTTAGAGTGAAAAAATTGCTTATATTTATTATTATACTTGAAGTAAATTCCAGAGGGCAAAGGTTAAGTTCCTGGAGGGGATGAAATGCAGGCTCGTGGTGAGCTGTTAACTTGTAACATCACAGTACTCTGAGACTGGGGAACACCAAGATTGTGAAGGTGAAAATGTCTTTGAGGCAAATTTTGGTGAGCTTAGTACCTACCCACTGCAGAGGGTACAGCTGTGTCAGTACCTGACAGGAGGCTCCTTGCCTCATTTGGCATTTGGCTTTTCTTAACTGGCTTACTTGAGGGGAAAAATCATGTTTTGCTAATGTTCCTTTTCTATGATTGATGTAACCTCAGAATAATTTGTCTCAGTCCTTTTTACCCCTTTGCTCTTTAAAACTTGGCCCCCAGAAAATTGTTTTTTCTTCAGGACAGACACATTATATATGAATGACTGTCTCCTAACTTGCGTGTCTTAAAGGTACTTTTCCAGGGGTGAGGAAAATGTATGATCTGTGGGTTGCAGTTTCAACAGTAATTTTAAGTGCTGTTTGGATTTTGAGACTCTGATCCTGCCTTGACTCACAGGGCCTTGAAGCAGCTCAGTGATGCAGATAATGGTAAACCAATTCAGCCCCAATCTGTCAGGGTTTCTGCAAGTGCATGGAAATATTTCTATTCTGGGATTTTGGGATACTTTGCCTGTAAGTATAAGCAGTTATTTAGGGAGAGTTTGATTCCTTGTGAAGGAGAAAAGAATATGATTATAGGCTTGGCTGTGTCTCATGCCTTCTTATTGAATTGAAATAGAACACACAGACTGATGCAGACAAAATTTTATTGAATATTTCACTAATAAAGCTACAATTATAGGAATAAGGTTTTTGCTATTTCGTTACTCCAATTCTGAATCCCAAACCAGGGTCCTGCTCTTGCACTTAATGTCCCCCTTCATATAATTTTTTGAAGCTTTAAATACAAAGCAAGGAAGAAAAGAAACTTGAGCCAAGTTGATTTTTTTTTTTTCAACAATTCAAGTGGGAGCAGGGGTGGAAGAAGGCAGCAGTAGCAGTGAAGCAGCATGGGAAGTGAACTGCCCAACATCTCCCGGAAGATTTGGCTGTTCCTGGCACAGCTGAGGTCTTGGCAACTTTGCAAAACACTTCAGGGTAGCGGCATCTTTTGATCTTCTCTGAATCTGTGAGAACTAAAAGCTTGCAGATGTCCAAGTACTAGAAGGGTCTAGGATGATCAATTGTAAAATAACTTTGAAATGTGAACTCCCATCCCTAAAATATGGTTGTACAACAGCCTTCTAAGGGTGGCACAAATCCTGCTAATGTCATCAAAGGGCCTTGCATGAAGGGAATGCAGAGGTTTGCTTTAGATGGCTCGGGAAGTGCACAGACATTCCTGCTGATGTCTGTGGCAGCCTTGCTCAGGTGGAGACACACAGGAGACTGTCAAGGACAGGTTCCCCAGAGCTGTAAATCAGTGTGGTTCCCTTGGCTTCAAGGGGATCGCTGATTTGTATCTGTGGTCTATACAGTGATCATGTCTGAGACATGTACTGGCATTGCAGGTATGAGAACAGAGTTGATGACAACCAGGAGCTGTTCTTGGGAGATGGCACTAGTCTCATGCTGAAAATATGGAGAGACAAGCTGGCATTGCTGTAAGGACTGGTATTTGGGACACTGTCACCCAAGTACTACATTGCTACACCTGTATCTGGGATGGGAACAGGGAGTGCAGCCAGGCTTCAGCACAGCAGGGGTTCACCTAATCAGCATAGCAGGATGTGGGTGTCAGAGCTGCTGGGACACGTTTCACCTCCCCTTGGTACAGGAAGGGCACGGGGGAGCTGTAGCACTGCTCTCTGTCGTAGGTGTAGCAGGTCTGGGCTTCATCACAGAAGTTGCCCTGCTGGGCCTGGACGATCCTCCCACCCAGATCAACCTCTACAGGACTGCAGTTTCTGCAGCTGCAAGAGATGGAGAACAGAACAAGTGTGAAGAGTTGTGATGACATGCCCCTGGTGAAACCTAAATCTTTCCTGTTGATCTGCAGATGGAGCCAGCAGAGTCCTGCAGTCTTTATAGGTGTTATATGGGAACTCCCAGCCTTCAAGCACCTTTTTGAGCTGCTGTGGGTTAAGTCTTGGGAAATTAAGCTAGTAAATAAAACTACTTACAGTTCAGAGATTCTGTAGACAAACTTGGTTCTCAGTGGGGACAAGGGGTCAGAGATGTTCTCTCGAGCCTTCAGGGGGACTCTGCAAAGGAGGGAGGAGAATCACTCAAGGAAATTGCTTATTAAACAGGGTCCTCTCTGCTATGAGCAATTCTAAACTCCCATCTCATTCCTTGGGTTATTTCCATTCTGACCCTCCCCAAGAGGACTGCAGCAACTCCCGTGAGGGCCACTTTCAAGGTGACAGTTTGCTTCTGTTAAACTCTGAGCTGGCAGATGCCTGGGAGACTTTCAGGACATGGACAGGAATGTTTCACTAGTGGCTCTCCTGTTCTGAGCTCTACCAGAGATCCTGCAGCTCTGAGCCTGAACTTGGTCCTTGTTTCCCAGACACACACACACTCTTCTGTTAGGTTTGTGTGAGTGGACAGGACTAAGTCCTACTCTTGAACTGAGATCTGTCTCATAGCATTAAGCTTTTCTGATGGTTTAGGCCTTAACTGTTTTCCCAGACTTAGAGTCAGACAGGGAAGTATCCAGTGGCATGGGCCACTAATCTGGTTTCAGATTAGATCAGCTGTTGGCATGTTACACTCTACTTCCCCAGCCTATTTTGTGAAGTTACTACTGGACTGCTTAAAACATGGGGATGCTTTTGGTATCTGAAGGGACAAACACCAGAGAGGTTCACGTGAGGTAGAAGAACACTAAACAAAGGGAAGTATTTAGGGTACCACAGAAAGCAGCCCATGGGACAAGTTGTTCCCTTCATCAGTGCCAGGACATGGGAAAGAGTGCACAGAAAAGGGAACATTTCATCACTTGCTCACCATCCCCATGAAATATTTGTCTGCCACTTACAGGATACGTATGTGTCTTTCCAGGACTTCTTGATCAGGGTCTTCTTTGGAGGGGACGATCTTGGAGGTCATTGTCACACACTGACACTTGTTATTGACCAGCACATACTCCTCATCCTTGGGCTCCAGAGGGTACCCTGCAAGCACAGCATATGCAACCCCAGAGTCAAGGAAAAAAGCTGTGAGAACTGTTCTAGCAGAAAACCAAGGGATGAGAATGCCAGGAGGGCACCAATACAGCGCCTGGATTGATTCCAGGGAAGGGCAGGTGGCCCTGATGATGCTTGTGGCTTGCAGGGAAAACTCCGGTCCTGATTTTCTTACTCAAGCTGTTTCTTCTCTCTTTGAGTATGTCTCCCACACTGTCAGCATGTTACATAATATGAAACTCAGTTAAAACAGGCTAAAACATCCCATGTGTCACCCAGAGGCTTTTGGAATGTTCCTGGTGTTGTGCAGTCCTGCCTTACTGTGCAAGTAGACGGACTTGCCTGCTCTGCTTGCCCCTTGGTTTAATCATGGAGAGAAAGAACTAGGCTGAAAACATCTGTGTTAATCATGTCTGTAAAGGACTTTGGAGTCACTTGGACTTAAAAGCTTTGGTCCTTCTTGCCCCTATAATATACTGGTCTCATCAGCTCCTATTCCAGGTTTTCTGAGATCCTTACAAGCACCATATCTGGGACAAAGGCACCAAAACTGTGTGAAATGATGCCTCAGAGTGACCCCAGAGTTCACCTGCTGGTTTCAAGTGCTGTTTCTGTGGCCTTGGCTGCCTTTGGCAGCAGAACACCTGCTGAAGAAGATTCTCTGTGGAGTTTCTAGCTTGGGAAAAAAAATCACTTTGCGTCTTGGCTCTGCAAGCTTCTTCTCTGCCAAGTCATCACTCCACGTGAGCGCTTCTCTCTGAAGCAGAAGCTTCCCACAAAAGCCTCTCTAGTCCCTGGCTCCTTGTCCTGGTCTTTCTTTTGGCTCATGGAAGGTCTCTGGCTTGTCCTTCACACAGCCCTTGCTCTGCTGTCTGTGCTGTATTCCACATAAGGTTGTGTGCAGTTCTTCCCAAGCCCTTAATCCAAAGCCAATATTCAAGTCAGATGCTATTGGCTTTGGGGTTGTCCCAAAGCCTTTGGGAGCAGGCTTTAATTCTAAAATTAGTTTAACACACTATTTTATGCATATGCAGGGTTTTTTGAATGCGCTCTAAAAATGCTGTCCTGATTTAATTCTTTGCATAATGCTCTTGGCTTCACTGTAAAAGTTACTGCAACTCCATTTATTTTTCAAGTAAAATTACAGTGCTCAAAAAATATAATTTTGTCAGAAATACCTCCATGTGCCATCCAGTGAAGTCCCTTTGAGGAGAAAGTATTTAAGCACAAAACTTCCTAATGCTGTTTTAAGTGTCTGCAGTTTGGATTTCCTGCGCTAAGGTGTTCCCTTCCTCCTCAATACTTACATAGCTGTTTTTTGGACAAAATTTCTCATTTTCCAATATTGGATCATCCTGTGATACACTGTGAAGCCCAAGAGAATTGCCTGGGTAGGCAATAAGATGCCCTTTCCCAAAAGCTGGAGAAAATGCATGGATGCAGCTGTCCATGCTGTTGGAATGGTTATCCTTGAGCACTGATTTAATCCTGTAGACCAGATGCACCATGTGCATGACAATGGCTTCAGATTGTCACACAGAGGCCTGAGACCCACACTGAGGATTGTGCTGGGAGCACACTGATCTCAGTGCAAATCAGGAGTTCCCAAGAAATTCAGTGGAGTTACGTGACAAATTACTGTTTAATCAAAAATAACTTGGCTGCAGCCATAGGACAGGATTACCAGGAAGGTTTTGGAAGCCTTTAAATCTAGCATGTAAGTCTTGCAGGGTCCCTAGCACTGCAGAAAAGCAAGCAAGCACGTTGGCAGTTTGTTGCTTCAGCAACCTGATAAGAAATGGCTAATCATCAAGGTTTAAACTTGCAGCCAGGCGTCACTTTGTCCTCAAGGCAGCAACTAAACCCACATAGCTCTGGTGCAGAAACACACAGACGCATCCAAGCACCACTGAACCATGATGGCTTGAGCAGGCTTAGAGTTTGGACCTTTGACTGTTGTAGATTACAGAAAACCTGCCACTGATATCTTAATCCCACTTTTCCACCTACCTGCCACAAGGATGATCCCCAAGGAGATGGCCAAGGCCACGCACAGCAACAAAGAGCTCTTCATCCTGGCTTCTCTTCTTTTGAAGAATGTGGGTGCAGAGCCTGTCTCTGCCTATAAGGGCGTGTGCAAATGGGTTTCCTAAAATAAACAGCCCGGCCGGCTGCACTGACACCGGGAAATGTGGCTTTGGGGACTGAAACCAGGTGTGTGAGTGCACCAAGACCTCTGGCTTTCAGAGGGGAAGGGGGCGGGGGGTTGTGCTTTTATTGAGCAATTTTTTCCTGATCATTTCCAACAGGTAATGAAGCTGCTTGAGTGCAAGGAGGTGTAAAACCACCATGATCCTTAGGGGACATATTGCCATCAGGGCCAGTTTAAAGTAAGAAAGTCCAAGGACCACAGCTCTGGCTCCTAATTGTGAGAAACCAGACTTAAAAGATCACTTAAAAATCATACTAAAAAACCACTTAAGGTTCAAAGTGAATCCTGTTTGGACCAGCTGTGTGCCAACCTTTATTAAGGGCCTGACCTGCCCCCAGAGAGCCTGCAGTCAAAGCAGGCAAGATGAGAGGGGAGGGGTGAGAGAGGTAAAGCCAACAGCAGCTCTGGGGCCAAGCTGAGCTCTTCCACCAGCTCTGCCCACTGCATCCAGGAGTCTATTTCCTTGAGAATGGAAAAGGGACTCCATGGGATTTGTGGTGAGAGGTCCTGAGTCAGGTCCCAACCAAACCCTGAGGTACTGGGCATGCAGGCTTTTCCTGAAGATACTGGAGGGGACCCAGATTTCTTTTGTCCCAGATTTAGTATCACTTATGGAACTCTGACACACAAATGTTGCAATGTAACCTGCAATGGCCAGAGCTGTCCCTGTAGCATTTCCATGTGTCTGGTGCAGAAAAGGCCACTTTTTAAGGAAAGCCCAGTCTTAGCAAGGGCCTGATTGCTCTTGCCAGGCTTCTCTGAGAGGCTGAAGTCATTAGGCAATGCTGCCAGGCATCCCAGTTCATGTCACCTTGCAGGCTGTCCTCCCTTTTCCCAGACCCTGCTGGCTGGTTTCCCAACCCTGGGGTTCTTCCAAGCCCCCTGATTCTGTGCCCTGAGCTTTTCCAAGCACAAACACCTCACCCTGCAGCTGCCTGATGCAATGAGCTTTCAGGTTACATCAGCAGTGCCCATGTGCAAGGTGAGTGTGGGAGCTGGGGGGGTGATGATGGGTGACTGCCCAGCTCCTTGCAGGGCATTGGATTCTGCCATAGCTCTTTACAAACCCTGTTTTCTCATCAGGGATACATCTACAGGAGGGCAGGATTCGAGTTTGCTTCCTTTCCTCCTCCCAGAAGGTATTGCCAACAGTTGTGTGCAGTGCTCTCTGAGGCAGTGGCAAGATGTTCCCTGTGCACACTTTTGCAGAAGGGAAATAAACTTGGCTCACCTGGGCTGATGGGGGTGTCTGTCTAAAGCACTATTTGCCTCAGTCAAATAGTCAAAAACCATTTTCTGTAACAAAGCATTTTCTTAGAATTATCCAAGAAGGGGGGAAAGCAGGCACCAGGATAAAGCACATGCAAAGGAGGCTGGGTCTGGTCTGCTTTGCCAAAATACACTAATAAAAATATGTCACTGGGAAAATCCAAGGGAAAACCCCACTTGAGTATTTTCTAACCCCAAGGCAGAGACTGAGCAGAACTATGTTCTGTGTTTCTGTTGATTTCAGTGGTTTTCCCTGGCTGCTGGTGTTCAGCATATCTGGATTTCGGTTGCTAAATCTACACGTGTGCGTACAGTCCCTTCGGTCTGGATATGGTGACATGAGGGCTATTTTTAGTCCCCTTCAGCCACCTGCATGTCTCTGGGGTTTCTAGCAAGATTGCAAGCTCTTGAGAGGAAGGTGTCTTTTATGGACTGTTACTTCTATGGACTATCCCCTTTTTAGTGGGTAACATTTTGAATTACCAAAAAAAATTGATCTGGGCAAGCAGGTGTTTTGGCAAGGGACTGTCAGTCCATCAGTCCAGGCTCCAGTTCTGGCTGAGTGAAGAGCTGGACTCCCAACCTCCCTGTGGGGCAGAGGCCAGTGGAGGAATAACTGAACATTGGAAAAGAAATGGGAGCCAGCCTTGCAGTCTCAGTCTCCTTTCACTTGTCCTGTGCCTCCACTGGGGCTTGACAGGCTGAACTAGGATTTTCCAGGTAAGAAGCTGGGCAGGTGCCTGGATGAAATGAGGCAGAATAGTTGTCTGTGTGTGTCCTTGCTGTGATGGGTGAGGAGGATGACACCAGGGCACGGGGTCTCTCCAGGTAACTCACCATCCACAAGCAGTCTGTCCTATGCTTCCCTTCGCTCCTCCTTTCTCATTGGGATGCCAAGAAAATGGTGGATTAAAACAGACCCCATAGCATTCCCTGATAATTATGTTGATAGCAATGTTTCCATTGATGCTCACAGCAGATTCCTTTGGCTTGAGCAGCTGCTGGTAACTGCCTGAACTAACTTGTGCTGGAGGACATATCCAGCTTCTCCAGAAGTGGATGGTGTTTTCAGCAAGTCTTGGACAGGGTTCAAATGTCTGTACACTGTTTTCTGCTCTTGGAAATAAACTTTAGGTCGAGAGACAATGTGTCAATGCCATTAAAATCCATGAGAGTCCAAGTGCAAGTTAGTCTTTTGTTAAGGCTCCGAATTTTGTAAGTCCAGATTTGAAACAAACTAAGGTCAGTTAGATGGTAATATCAGGGTCAGGGAAATGAGGGAGTCTTGGGTTTCTGTATGTCACACCTGCAAAAGTTATCTGGAATTTTAACCTTGCAGGAATTGGCTGCAGCTGTCTCTGGTTGGATTCACACAAAAACCCAGCAGGATTGAGCAGCCAGATGACAAAGCCTGATCACCAGGGACAGCTGCATGTAGTGGCCAACCAGTATCAAATGAGAACTTCCCCCAAGGAGTGGCTAACAAATTAAATGACACCAAACCCAACTTATACTTGTTGCTCTTTCTTCTACAGGTCTGTATTGAGGGAGGTGATGGCTGAAAACCAGCAGGGACAGGTTTGAAAAAGGCAGCTGAGGGAAAACCTGCCTGTGTGCAAGAAAGCGTTGACCCAGAGGTAACCATGTGGAGGGGAGGAGCATATCAAAGTTACAAATGAGACCTGTCTGCCATCAGATCGGCCAGAATCCAAATGAATCACCTAAAAGTGAGTCAAGTTTTGCACACCACTCTGTTAATTTGAACATTTGCTTGACATATTTTTTTTTTCCATGAAGAGGTGGACAGGAGCATTTATAAATACAACTGCACCTGTTCTGTGGTGAGAAAAAAAGCACCTGCGCTTCTTGAACACAGAACTGCTCTTGCTGGGATGTGGGGGGTGCTTAATTTATCAGGTTCTGGGTTTCTGAGCTCGAAATACACTAATGTGACTCCTGCTGTTCTGGGAGGGCTGCCTGTAGTTTTCCAAAGCAGACAGTTTCCATGTGGCTGAGTAATAACGTGATTTTTCTCTTGGGAAAGCTGGGAGGCTGGGCTGGGTGCTCTGAGATGGATGACAGATACACACAAGCACAAGATGAGAATTCAAAGGTGAATAAGTAAAGATTGCCTTAAAAACCCTCCCGATGTGGGGTCCTCGGGTGTTGAAAAACCAGAATTGCTCCTTGTCTGGGACGCATGGATCTATTTGCATGCAAGGATGGGTCCAAGGAGTGCAGAGGTGGATTCAGGCGTCAGGTGTATTTTCCATGTGTTTTTTTCCCCCTCGTGCAAGATGACCACACAAACAGCAACGGTACGGGGCTGTGCTTTTAGGGGAAGAAAAACCCCCGAGGAGGAAAAAAATGCCCTTTTTTCCCCCCCTCTTTTTCCACGTGGCATCACTGATTGCTGAGAGCCGCCACGGCCGGAACCCCGGCCATCTCATGGTGGGCGTGGGGCCGATCGCGTTCGGGACCTGGAAGGGGAAGGGGCCGGGCCGAGCTGCCGGGCGGAGCAGCGGAAGGAGAGCGGTGGAAGCGGAAGGGGCGGTGTGGAGGAGCCGGAGGAGCCACGGGAGCCATGCGGACCCGGCGCGGCACCGTCCTGCGGCCGCCGGCACAGTCCCCCGAGCACGACCATGGGCTGGACGAGGCGCCCGGCGGCACCGCCGGCCCCGAGGAGCTGGCGGACGACGTGGAGCAGTTCCACGAGGCGCAGTTCCGAGCCGTGATGGCAGCCCTGGACAGCGGCGAGGAGGCCGGGGACAGCGGCGACGAGGAGGAGGAGGAGGAGGAGGTGCTGGGGCTGCAGCTGCCCGAGGAGGACAGCGAGGAGGAAGAAGAGGAGGAGGAGGAGAAGCAGGGGCTGGATCTCTTCGTGGACCACAGCGCAGAGGAGGATGAGGATGGAGACGCGGAGGAAGATGAGGATGGGAAAGGTGAGGAGGAGGAAAATGAGGTTGAGGATGAGGATGGGGACCTGTCCATGGAAAGCGACTTGGAGGAGAAGCGTCCAGACACCAAGCTCCCCCATGAGCTCTCCTGGGGCCAGCGGAAGCAGCTGTACTATGACACGGACTATGGGAGTGATGCCCAGGCCAAGGGCAAGCGGAGCCAGCAGGAGATCGATGCTGAGGAGGAGGAAGAGGAGCAGGAGGCTCAGGTGATCCAGAGGCGGTTAGTGCAGGACTTGGGGGAGGATGACTATGGGCTGGATATGATTCAGGGTTACCTGGCTGAGCAGCGCAAAACCCAGGATAGCATGGGGCAGAAGATTGACAAGGATCTGCAGGCCCTTTCCAAGAAGGAGCAGCTGAAGCTGCTGAAGCAGGAGTCCCCTGAGCTCCTGCAGCTGATGGAGGACTTGGAAGTGAAACTTATGGAAATCAAGGATGAGCTGCACCCACTGCTGCAGATGGTCAAAGATGGCACCATCCCCCAAGGGAAGGGCAGTCGCTATTTGCAGACCAAGTATCATCTGTACCTGAACTACTGTGCCAATATCAGCTTCTATCTGGTTTTGAAGGCCAAGAGGGTGCCGGTTCATAGTCACCCCATCATTGAACGGCTGGTGGCTTACAGAAACATCATCAATGACCTTGCTGTCATAGACCAGAAGTTATCCCCACAGGTCCGTGTGCTTCTGAGGAGCTACTATGACAAGAAGGAAGAGAGGTTACGGAAGGAAAACAAGTTTGCTGTGTTTCTCACCATGGATGGCAAGAAAAACAAATCGAAACATGCCTCTGCACTTGCTAATGGCCAGGCTGCTGCTGCTTCTGAGTCGTCGGGTGAGTCGGAGCCGGATGAGGAGGCTGCCCTAAAATACTACAAGATGATGGAGGAGAAGCTGGCACTCAAGAGGAAGAGACCTGGAGACGAAGATGTACTTGGAGAAGAAGAGGTGTCGGAAGGAGAGGATCCCAGTAAAAAGAGGAAGGTGACTTACCAGATGATCAAGAACAAAGGCCTCACGCCCAAAAGGAGGAAGATTGATCGCAACCCCAGGGTGAAGCATCGGGAGAAGTTCCGTCGCGCCAAGATCCGCCGCAAGGGGCAGGTGCGGGAGGTGCGCAGGGAGCTGCACAGATACGCCGGGGAGCTGTCGGGCATCCGCGCTGGCGTCAAGAAGAGCAGGAAGCTCAAGTGACACTCACTTTTCTATAAGAGCTGCCAGTACCAGTCCTGAATCCAATAAAAGCTTTGTAAAGGATGTTGTGCATTTTATTCTTAAGGAAGTCGGGGGTGGGGTGGTACTTGGTTTGGTTTTTTTTTTTCAGAAGGTGCCACCTCCAAGTGGCACAGGGCACTTTGCATACTTGCCCATGTGTTAAGGTATTTTCCTCTGTGGTGCTGTCAGGTTTCCATAAACAGGGAACCTTGAGAGGTTGCAAGCAATGTGTCGAGCAAAGAGAGTGAAATGGGCCATGTGAGATTAGTGGGGAGATGGGATGGATGGATCTCCTGAGGGTGGCTTGAGAAGGGGGTTCCGCCGCTCTCACTGTCTTCTTTTTGCTGTTGTGTTCTGGTCCATCCTGTTCCTGTGTTGAGTTGCAGAAGGAGAGATGTGGTTATGGTATTTAATTATTTTAATTAATTCCTTTGTTCTTAAAGTGTATGAGCACTACTTTTAGGTTGTCTTAAATTACTTAGTCTCATGTGGTCTAAAATAGTGTTTCCCCTCCTGAGTTCAGTGAGAAGCCAAGCAAGGACTTGTCTGGATCTCCTAACTATCTGTGATAACACATCTTCCCCTATGATAAATGCTAACTGTTGTCTGCTGCTACAGGACTAAGTAGCATTGCTGCAGGACAAGTGGGTAAGGTGTAATGTCTTCAGCTGCCAAGTAAACTTTCAGGATGTTTGGAATACTTCCATGCCTTCTCGTGGGTAAATGCATTTTAACCCCATGTCAGATTCTTGCCAGGAGCTGAC